TGGACCCGGAGTGCGAATATTGTTATTCGTGAATGTTGCTTTCGATGTTCAGTTGAAACGTCATTTTTGCTTGTACAGATTCATTCGTGACATATTTCTTTCGAAGAACAGTTGGTTTATTTGTCTATTAAAATAAGTTTTCCGTAATTGGCGCTCAGATCGCGCACAAAAATGGACAATTTGGGAATAGGAGATACGGTACTGGTATCAATACGGTACTCGTATCGATACGGCACCTTTACGTATTATCAATATTCTAGAGGAAATTGATCGTTAGCTTTTGGAGGGCGCTGCGGTACCCGGGTCAATTTGGACCCGGAGTGCGAATATCATTCGCGAATGTTGTTTTCGACGATGGTCCGATATTTAAAACGTTGTCACGTCCGAAAAGGTTAATATCCGTGTGCAATCGCAACTCGCTGCACGCGTCATCATCCTTGAAGCGATTAGGGGACAAGTAATAGCGACCGAATGACCAGGTTGCCGAAAATTGGGCGCAACGTACAGGGGCGAAACAAACGCCGAGGATCGATAGGGATCGCGAATCGGTTCTTGCCGGGCCGACCCCTGCCGCTGAAGAGTCCTGGAAGCGGCATTAACGCGCCGTTAGGGGCACCGGAGTGGGAGGGGGGTGGGGACACCGGTGCAGTCAGCGGGGTGCATCATCGATTCGAAGCGTCCGCGTTATTCTTCGTAACTAGATTTTCGCAGGGAGCCGTATTATTAGAAGCAACGTCGTTCGGCCGGCCGTCCGAACGGAATATCAACGAGCGGGGAGCGATGCAAATCGCGGCCGAGCAGCCGAGATTGGATTATCGCGAGCGATCGGTCAAACGGCGCATGGAAATTTTAATTATCGAAACTGCCGTCCTCTGGAAATTACTTGCAGGCGCGACGGGTCCGTACTCTCTTCCCTCCACTTTTCCCTCGCTTTTTCGCTTCTCTCCTCGTTTTTTTTCTTCTTTTTTTTTTGTTAAATCGCCTCGACGCTACGAGACCCGATAATTATCCTGATAACGACGTTATCCGTTTCGCGTGCCGCTAATAATCGTCGAAGCTGGGTTAATCGACGGCCCCGTCGAGTGGCCGGCGAATCCGCCGAACAGATGGCCCAACTCGGACCGGGTCCCGTTCAAGGTAATCTCGTTGATTTCGCGAAGATACCGGGCCAGACACGGCCGCTCGCTCGCCAGAAGGACTCTATTGGATCAGCCTTTGTCCCGTCCCGCTTTCAAACCTGTCCCCGGGACAAAAGTACCAACTGCCACTGTTTTTAAATAGTTTAGCACCGAATTTCGCCGACCGCCGCCGCCGCCGGCGATCCAGCTTTTGTTCCGCACGGCTCGCTGACTTTCGGACCGATGACCGGGTTAGCTGCTCGGCCACGGCCTTAATCGGCTGCGACCAGTTTGCCCAAGGGATTCGATTTCCATCGTTTGCTCTATTCATCCCCGACGCGCGCCTCCCGCCGGCGACCGTCGATTCATCTTCAATGGAATATTTTTCGCCGACCTCCGCAAAGGAAAACGCGAGCTCGTGGCTCTTGCTGGATGCAGCTTTCAAGGGGGAGGGGGCAAGGTCCAAGGTTCAGAGATTCGCACACTTGTGGATCTTGTCCTCCTGTTTACGAATATATAGCCGGGGCGAACGGTTTCCTAGAAATTTAGGATTCAAGCTTCATTGTTGCGGGGAATATATGTAGGCTGATGCTCTAGAACGTTACAAGCTACAAATAATCTCAGATTCGCTGTCTGATATGAGCCCGCTACTCGCGCCGCTGCAATATAGTCAGTCGACTAGCATGAATCCGCTGCCCCACTAGCGCCCTCCAATACACCGACTAGCATGAGCCCGTTTTCCCACTACCGATTCTACAATACACTGAGTAGCATGAGCTCGCTGCCCCACTACCGTCCCTACAATACACTGAGTAGCATGAGCCTGCTGCCCCACTACTGCCTTCCAATACACCAACTAGCATAAACCCGCTGCCCCACTACTGCTCTCCAATACACTGAGTAGCACGAGCCTGCTGCCCCACCATCGCCCTCCAATGCGCTGTGTAGCATAAGCCCGTTGCCCCACTACTGTCACTCCAATAAACTGAGTAGTATAAGCCCTTTGCCCCCACTACGGCTCTCTAATCCACCGACTAAGCTTGCTATCCCCACTACTGCTCTTTAATCCACCGACTAAGCTTGCTATCCCCACTACAAAGCTCAGATCTGCCAAATAGCATAAGGCCGCTCTGCTCCCCACGACCCTCTAATACACTGACTAACACAGACACACTACCCGCACCATCATGCGCTAATCCAAGGCTCGGAACGCTTCGGAACGCAACATTGGACTCCGCCTCCTGACTACCGCCGCAGCGTCTCACTCCCCGCGCCGTCATCGGCTCACCGCCGCAGCGACTCGCTCCCGGTGCTGCTGCCATTGGTTCACAGCGAAACGCTGCGGTGTAGTCAGGAGGCGGAGCCCAATGTTGCGTTCCCAAGCGTTCCGAGCTCTGGCTAGAGCATGGTGGTGGGGATACTGTTTCCATGCTAATCACTGCTAGCTTCTGATTAGAATCGACTGATTAGTCGACCAGCATAAGCTCTCTATCCTCATCGTCATGATCACATCGGCCGACTAGCATGAGCCTTCTGCCCGCAGCATAACGAGCCCATCGGCCGACTAGCATCAAGTCCATGAAGTAGGGAGACGTATTCTTCCGATGGTGGGCCATCGTGAACATTTTGTAAACAATAGCCCCGCGTGTATTACGTAACACTGGCCAAACTTCAGTCCTAAATATCTGGGAAACATGATCAGCTGCCTCAGCGACGATACATTTTCGCAAACAGTCGAACCAGATCGGCAAGAGTACAAAGTTTCAACGCGAATAGGTGGCCCGAAGGATTCGCACTCTCATTGCTAGTGAAGTCAGGAACTTGGGCAAATGAGAGATTAATCGGTAACGTTTGTAAATGGCATAAGGCAGCTTTGCATTTATAGGATGCCTCCGGCGTTCCCCTATTTCTGCATTTATTTAGTTATAACCTGACGTTTCGGCTGAGTCGGTCAAAATAACCGAGCCAATCAAACAACCGATGCACAATTTCCTGCAACGTGCCGAATTCATTTCCCCGCTAAAAGCATTTGCTCTAAATAGCGGAGCGGCGTTCGGTGTACTGAAATTTCTCTAGCACCGTATACCGTATTCTGGCACTTCGGTCAAATTGATTAAAGTGTCAGAGGTAGTCGGACAAGTGACGTCTGCATAACATGTCCCGACGATATACTTAACGGAATCCCCAGTAAAAGCGTTACCGCTATTTAGCGAGATCGTCTTCGTGCTTTAATTCCATTATTTCGTACTACAGTTATTCAGAGTATTAATATTATTAATATTCATATTAATTGTTCAGAAAATTTGATGTTATTTAATATTATTAATATTAATATTAATTTCCCAGAAAATTTGATGTTATTTAATATTATTAATACTAATTGTCCANGTCTCACTCCCCGCGCCGTCATCGGCTCACCGCCGCAGCGACTCGCTCCCGGTGCTGCTGCCATTGGTTCACAGCGAAACGCTGCGGTGTAGTCAGGAGGCGGAGCCCAATGTTGCGTTCCCAAGCGTTCCGAGCTCTGGCTAGAGCATGGTGGTGGGGATACTGTTTCCATGCTAATCACTGCTAGCTTCTGATTAGAATCGACTGATTAGTCGACCAGCATAAGCTCTCTATCCTCATCGTCATGATCACATCGGCCGACTAGCATGAGCCTTCTGCCCGCAGCATAACGAGCCCATCGGCCGACTAGCATCAAGTCCATGAAGTAGGGAGACGTATTCTTCCGATGGTGGGCCATCGTGAACATTTTGTAAACAATAGCCCCGCGTGTATTACGTAACACTGGCCAAACTTCAGTCCTAAATATCTGGGAAACATGATCAGCTGCCTCAGCGACGATACATTTTCGCAAACAGTCGAACCAGATCGGCAAGAGTACAAAGTTTCAACGCGAATAGGTGGCCCGAAGGATTCGCACTCTCATTGCTAGTGAAGTCAGGAACTTGGGCAAATGAGAGATTAATCGGTAACGTTTGTAAATGGCATAAGGCAGCTTTGCATTTATAGGATGCCTCCGGCGTTCCCCTATTTCTGCATTTATTTAGTTATAACCTGACGTTTCGGCTGAGTCGGTCAAAATAACCGAGCCAATCAAACAACCGATGCACAATTTCCTGCAACGTGCCGAATTCATTTCCCCGCTAAAAGCATTTGCTCTAAATAGCGGAGCGGCGTTCGGTGTACTGAAATTTCTCTAGCACCGTATACCGTATTCTGGCACTTCGGTCAAATTGATTAAAGTGTCAGAGGTAGTCGGACAAGTGACGTCTGCATAACATGTCCCGACGATATACTTAACGGAATCCCCAGTAAAAGCGTTACCGCTATTTAGCGAGATCGTCTTCGTGCTTTAATTCCATTATTTCGTACTACAGTTATTCAGAGTATTAATATTATTAATATTCATATTAATTGTTCAGAAAATTTGATGTTATTTAATATTATTAATATTAATATTAATTTCCCAGAAAATTTGATGTTATTTAATATTATTAATACTAATTGTCCAGAAAATTGGATATTAATTAGTATTATCAATATTAATTGCCCAGAAAATTGAATATTATTAATATTAATTGCCCAGAAAATTGAGTATTATTAATATTAATTGCCCAGAAAATTGAATATTATTAATATTAATTGTCCAGAAAATTGAACATTATTTAATATTAATTGTCCGCTTAATTGGGTCAACGATAACCTCTAACGGGGTTGAAATCACGAAGACGAGACACCCGATCGCGTGCTGTGACACTAATTGATATCAAAAGTTGGCATCGCACATTTTGCAAAACAAAAAAAGAAAATCGTCTCTGCGTCCCGGAGGGTCGGTCCGAGATTCACCGGGAGAGATTTCAAGTGTGGAAGACTCACCTGTCTGACGACGAACCGACTCGCGCGCGGGACCGGGATCTTCGCTCTGGTGGCTGTTTCTCGCCGGAAGCCGCAACTACACTGAAACAAAAACACCGCCAAGGGTGAGAAGGAAGAGAGCGCAGCGTGTCGCGCGGTCCGTGCAACCGGAAGCGTTTGCGCCAGCCGCGGACTATAATAACGAAAGCGCTCGAACTCGACGATTCGACGCGGACCGCGTACGGTGGACGGGGGGCGGGACGGGGACGGCGCTGTGCGGATACGATACGCGGGTACGTGTGTCTACTTAACGAAGTTAATGAATGTTAACGCGGCGCAACAGTTTTGAATGGGCCTGAACGCTCTTTTATGCCGCCCCGCGGCTTTGTGCCGGGGTGTCGTTTCGTCGCGCAGCCTCGCATTCAACGCGGCAACAAGCCATAAGCAGTCGGCTAAACTAGTTCTATTGAGATACTTGAAAAGTAATCTAGCAGGGATTGGCCCTGTTGCTCGGCTGCTATTCGTAAGCGGGATTTCAATGGCCCGCCCACGCGTTACGTATTTCGCCGTGGGAACGCCGCGTCGCCCGTCCTTTTTCCTTTGTCGATGCTGCTATTAATAGACAGTCAGATTTCCATTTCGTTTACACATTCGGCAATTCTTACACACAACCCGAGCATTAACACTTCGCGCTACCATTTCTTTCGCAGCTACCCAGCCGGGGACAAAAGATCAAGTTTGATGAAAGGAAGAAAGAGATTGGTAAATTTCCACCGGGGTTGATTATGTTCTCCGGAGATCTCAATACTGATGTGGAATTCACTGAAACCTAGCGCAAAGCTGTAAACTATAATGTTATTACGTTCACGGATATACAGGGTGTCCCAGGTTTTAATGTTCAAACTTTGTTTGTGTATTCTATGGCACAAAGTAAGAAGAAAATGTTATGTAAACATAGGTTATATAGAGCTTTATTAAGAAGTTATAACAAAAATTCAGAATGGGAATAGTAATTGCATTAGAATAGCGAAGCATTGGCTTGGATAGATCAGCACATGCCATGTGTTTATGTAAGCTGTGTTTATTAATACGTTTCGAAATGTATTAATAACCGTTGTTGACAATACATGATTGACATCGATCGAGGATTTCTTTTTATTTTTTTTTTAGTTGATTACTATTCCTATTCTGAATTTTTGTTATAACTTCTTAATAAAGCTCTATATGATCTATGTTTACATAACATTTTTTTCTTACTTTGTGCCATAGAATATACTGACAAAGTTTGAACATTAAAATCTGGGACACCCTGTAGAGTACCGAAGAGTAGGTTAGGTCTGTCTGTGTGTGTGTGTGTGGTTAAGCAGTCTGTGGCGGACTACAGTGACCCGCACGCCTCTACCGCTAAATATCAAAAATAGTGACGTTCTTTCATAGTTAATTTGTATATTTCATGATTAACATTTGCGCTAGCGTGATTTATTTATAGTCAAACTTTATATATTTCATGTCTGTTGCTATTGGATTTTTCGACGTTGTATATTACTTTTGTTAGAACAAAATATTGCTTCATAAGTTAGTTTAGACATTGTTCAACGCCATTAAATGATTTTAACGGTGTTTATTTTTAAAGGAAATTATTCCGTGGATTATTATACTAAAGCGACTATAAGTCTATGTAACTGGTGTCCTCTTTATACTCGCCACCGAGCCGCCATTTTCTACTTATTTTTGGAAAATAAAAATTGATCTTAGAACTGAAAGATAAGCCCAATAAAACTTTCGAATCTCATTTTTATTGCTTAATAGTTATTTAAAAAAAAAGATTTCCGAACGCATCTTGTTTCTCGAACAGTAAAAGGAATATAATCCCTTAAAAGTCCAAGAATTGGTGCAACTGTCATGATTATCAATGGTACAAAACCATATTAGATAACAACAAAAATACCATTATCAAAATGTAACAATTATAAATTAACAGAAACAAGAACTTTAAACAATACAATCATTTTCATGGATGGATGTTAGGGGGAGTGATATTGCTATGATTATACACGTAAAAATGTGTAGAAATCATTCCACTTTGAAATAAAGTGCGATGTGTAGAAAGTCAAAGGTTATTAATTGTTAATTATATAAAACGCTGACAATTCTCCTTAGTCAATGGAATATTAACGTTCAAATATATTATAAGCAATATTTCTTATAGACAACAGCATTTTCAAGTACAAGAAACGTACTATTGGCATAAAATAGGAATTTACAAACATCATTTATTATTCACATATAACATGCTCACTGTGTACGAAGTGTGTTGCGTATCGTCGACGCTTGTTGCAAGACGTCGTCAAGAGATTAACCACGTGTGCTATGAAAGTTACTTATAAATAAAAATAAAGTAGTTAAAGAGACCGAGTTTGTCTACGAAATCCAGCTAATAATCGACGTGCAATCGTCGTAAAATAAGAATTTACAAACGTCATTTATTATTCACACGTTATCGCAATTTTTTCAATCATTTCCAGTGCTTTGACAAAAAACTGTTTCGAACAAAAATGAATCGGTACTCAGTCTTCTATAAATATCAATATAAAAAATTAAAAAGAAACTTTTTTAAATAAGAAATTAAAGTCGCCCCGATTTTTTAATCGTTACTATATCTTTTTTGCTTAATAATGTTACTGCCGACGTCAAGACAAATTCAACGACCTACATAAAACTGTCTTCACGTCTTAGAGCATCGCTGAAATCGTCGTGAACGATTAATTCATCGATTGGGACCACAGCTTTGGCTGCGATTAGACGAGAGTGTGCCAGTGTGCCAGCGATGTGGTTCCAACTTCAGCTGATTCGGAAGACGTTCTTAGATCCCTTAGCGTTACCCTGGAATTGGAAATCGGCGAGATCCTCCGGTCTGTGCGGGAGGTAGCAAGATGGACGACGAATCTCGGCTGCCGCTGTCCAACTTTTAATTTAGGGGTCTTCGGGAGACGGTTCCTGTCCCAGTTCGGATCCTCTATTGACGAATAGCATCCGCGTCCCGAATTTCGGCTGGATCGGAACTAAAACAGCGGGGCTAACGCGGCGGCACAATCGAACGTCGCGTTTCGAATAGTTTCTGTCAGGAACGAGTAAACTTCGGAGCCCGCCCGGAGCTGCGAAAAGGTTACATTCGCTCGACAAGCCCCGAGTATGCCGGATTGTGTGCTAAATCAAACTGCGCGTCGAATCGGAGCACCTGCTGGTTGGAGCGCGTGTCGGCGGCCCGCCATTGTTACACATCCTGCTCCCGCTCCTCGTTCGCATTCCGTTTAGCGTGCTACTTGATCGATCATGCATCGGGCCCCGTCTTTGTTCGCTGCATTATTCATGGTTACGCGCGTACTCGAGCGCGTCGCATCGTAATCATCTTAATCGCTCTCGCCTTTTTCCTGTCGCGTGCGCGAAAAGATTCGTCGGGAGTTCTGCGCTGAAAATCAAAACCGCTTTTCTTTCCGGCCCAGCCGGATGAAATCTTCGAATCTGTAAATGGCGGTTTTCCAACGGATATTACGCGGATCGACAGCGGACGAAGAGAAAGCCCCACCGTTCAAAACTTCAACACTGTTGCCTAAATTGGTGAGCTAAAATTCTGAAATAAATCTGGCCTATTTCAGACAACGAGCCGCATGCCGGAGAATTTTTTCAGATTTTTCGGTCGCACGTCGTGATCGCTAAAAATGAAAAATCCGAAGGAAAGTCGACAAATCGAAGGTTTCTCGGTGAGCGAAAAATCTCGCCCGCGTCCTTTTAATTCCGTCGAAGGATATTACTGAGAGCAGTGTTGCCAATTTTTCTCAGATTTTTGCAGCACGGGAACGATGCCGCAAAAAATAAAAACCGAACTGGCGCCGACGTGTGCCGAGGTCGCAGAGCAAGAAGCGTCTCCAAGGCGCCCCTAAGTGGAGACAACCGACCAGGGGGATCCCAACTCGACGTCCACCTTGTCCTAGGATCTTCAAAAAATCTCGTCGTGCGATAGAACAAATGCCTGTTATAAAAATGAATTTCCAAGTCTTCAAATCAATGTACTTTGTTCCCCGTGACATCAGAAAAAAAAGGATTCCGGATGATTCCATCGTGATCTGAATTGGTCACGCTTGCAGGTTCATATTGAGCATCAACTGGCCGTCTCAGTCATCTCCAAGGAGCCGTTGTAGCCCGCGGGAGACCTTCTCGACGACGTCGCCAGGACCCGATCTCGTTCGCCGTCGACTTAAAACCGTTTCAGCGCGGCATCGGACTCGGCAGCACGTTCGACGGAGTGTTCAGTCGTAAGATGATCGGCGCGAGAGCCGGGGCCACGATTTTTCCGATAGGTATCGTATTCCCGCGCCTTAAATATTTGAAGAGCGCGGGCGGTGGGGCAGGAGGCCGATGGCCGGGGCATGACTGGCCGCGGCGGCAACCAGAACGTTCGGGATTCTGGATCAAGCCATGATTCCTGGCCCGACCACACGATCTCGTCCGTGGTCACGCGTGGGATCTACGCTAATGGATTGCCGGCTGATACGTTCCACTGCCCCCTGCCTCCTGCAGCCACCGGACGGAGATAAGCGATAAGTATCGCGAAAATCCGAGCGCCTTTGACGGTTCGATGCGACGACGGAATTACCGGTGGCGGAGACGGTTTTGTTGGGAATTTTAAACCAGCCGGCTTTATCGGGTCTAGAACCGGCGAATTTATTTTTACCTTGGCATACCTATAGCGCCTCGAAGCGTCGCTTCGGTAATTGATTCTTAGCTTGGAGATTGTCTCGTGCTCAGCGTCTTTGCACATGCTTGCGAAAACGAGGAATAATCGACTCTACATTATGTCTGCCGATAAAGGGATATTGACCTGGAACAGGCCGACTACGTTGACACTCGGAGCACGCGGCTCCAAGACATCACTACTTGCTACGAAAATCGGTCGGATCCGATTCGAACGAGACGTGGAAAATAAGTTCGTTTTTTTACAGCAATAAAGTTTGCGAGAATAATTTTCGACGGCGTCGAAGTCGAAGCTCAAAAATGCGCACGAGACGTTTGACCTTCTATAACCTTGAAAACTTCCGTGCCTT